GTGGATCACCTGAGGTCAGAAGTTCGAGACCAGCCTGGCCAACATGGCAAAATCCCGTCTCTACTAAAAATACAAAAATTATCTGTGCATGCTGGCATGCGCCTGCTATCCAGGAGGCGAGGCAGGAGAATCACTGGAATCTGGGAGGCAGAGGCTGCAGTGAACCAAGATCGTGTCACTGCACTCCAGCCTCAGCAAAAGAACAAGACTCCATCTCAAAAAAGAAAAAACAAAATCAAATACCACATATTCTTATAAGTGGAAGTGAAACACTGAGTACACAAGGACACAAAGAAGGAAATGATAGACACCACGGTCCACTTGGGGGTAGAGGGTGGGAGGAAGGTGAGGATCAAAAGACTAACTATTGGGTATTGTGCTTTATTACCTACATGATGTAACAATATGTACCCCAAACCCCCCAACACACAATTTATCTATATAACAAACCTGTACATGTACCCTTGAACCTAAAATACAAGTTAATAAAAAATCCATTTACTAGAGGCACACATAAAGTTTTCAGTTCTTCCATAAAGAAAAATGCTGTATGGCATAGAAAAACACCTATGTAATGTTTTCAGTTTTTCCCTCTTAGTTTTCCTCTTCTCCCTTAAGAAAGCAAAAAGCGCTTTCTCCTGATTCATCAAATAATAAAATACTGACTACCATCTAAACATCAACAATAAAAAATGTAGTCTTGTCAGAACTTGCTGATGGGCTTAATGTGGGAGCAATAAAAGAAAGAGAAGACTCATACATGGCTATTGAATTTCTAACCTGAAAAATACAGCGGATTGTGGTGCCATTTGCTGGGTACAATGGGCCCGGGGCCAGAGGGAGGAAAGGAATGTAAGAAATAAAAGGTTTTATTTTGGCCACTCACATCTGAGAATGTACACCAAGCTAGGAGAATGTTGTGCAGGTCACTCAAAAGAGAAGTCTGGACTACTGAAATAAATTTCAGAAGAGTGTTATTTAGGTTGTTTAATGAGATCAAAGGAAAAATTAAGGACAGTGAAGAGAACAAAATAGTACTCAAGGCCAAGTCCTGAAGAAGCCCACATGTGGAGGGCATTTGGAAGGTCAGGAAATAAGAGGATCAGAAAAGCAGCAGGGAGAGAAGCAGGAAGGAAAGAACTGTCCTAGGAGACAAGGGCAAGTGCTGTCAATTAAAAACTGTACAATGGTATGTACCAGGTTGAGAGATACATTAATGTATCAATTCTATTAAAAAAATGAAAATATTCTCAAAATCACAGGCATTCAACAACTCATTCAATGTCAAGTATGAAAATCTAACTGTAGAAATATTCTCGTTATATTCCATATAATCTTTAGGATATATATGATCTGTTTTAAGCTCACCTGTAGGGGAGTTAAAGTAATGAGGAGAACTAATATTATTTAGTTCTTTGATACTCATTTTCAATCCTGATGTTTTAAGAGATGAAAGCTTTTAGGGCAAAAAAACAGGCTAATCTACCTTTATTCTAAAGTGATGGTTAGTAGTCTTGGCCAGAGTTCTAAAGTAACTTGTAGGCATAACACCGAAAATGCCCTCAGAATATGTCCCACCACAAGCTTGAACTTTCCAGTGCAACTGTTTTGTATTTGCTCAGATAACCAAATGTAACATACTTCAAGCTCATTGTCATAGATTAGTTAGCAGTGACAGCCATCAGCGAAGAGGGGCTGGACTTCAGCAGGAGAGGCCTGCCCACTATAAGGTAACCTGTGTGCACCAGAAGAAGCTCAGCTCCAGAACCCCTCTCCTATCTACCTTCTGCATGTGTTTTTCCCCTGAAATGTAACTGCAAGCTCTTGCAGTCTGGGACAGTTCATTAAACAGCTTGAGTTTACTTTCTAGAAAATAATCCAGGGCATTGGTCAGCACAAAACGGGGGCTTAAAAATTACACATTGAGAAAAAATAATTTTAGTCATTTTATTTGCTAGGAAAGTAAGTATAGGTAGAATAGGAAACTTCTGAAAAGGAAAAGTAACAAGGGAGAAGCAACCACATAAGTTTTAAAACAAATTAATAAAACCAGGTGGTATTGGCACTTAATATAAATGAAAGTCCAATGAAACAGAACAGAAAGTCTAATAGACTTTCCCAATAGACTGGGAATTTCATAATAATACAAAGGTAAACTCCCAATCAGTGGAGAAAATATAGCTCACGTAACAATGATTTGAAGACAACTAAGGACCACCTAGAGAAATGCAGAGGTAAGCCCGTGCCTCATATCCATACCAAAAACATTCTGTGTTTGAAAGATCTGGATATGAAAGTGAAAATAATAATATACTAAAAGAAATCAGCTAAGAGTTATGCTGTAACCTTGGAGAAAGGAAGGCTTTTTTGACATAAACTCCAGAGTCTTAAGAGAAAACACTGATATATTTGACTGCATTAAAATTTTGTTTTCCACAACTAACCAAAACTACAATAGAGTAAAAAGACAAACACCAAACCATGGGAAAAAATGTTCACAACTCCTATCACAAAGGACTAATCTCCCTAATACATAAAAGTTCCTAAACATTAAGAAAGAGACAAGCAGCACAGTAGAAAAATGAACACAGGATATAAGCCTTAGGTCATGGAAAATGAAATAAAAATGGCTCTTAAACTTATAGAAAGAGATGCCCAATCTCAATCAGAAGAAGAAAATGAGATACCATTTTCTGACCTGTCAGATTGACTAGGCGGTAAAAGTTTTATAACATGTTATACCACTGACTGCTTGAGGAAACAGTACTTGCATATATCACAAGCAGGTGTGTAAACTGGTACAATCTGAGGAGAGCGATTTATCAGGTTACAAGCATACATTCATTTAGATAATGTAATTCAACTTCCTTAGAATAAAATCTGTCATATCAATATATTTGTAAGAGTGAAAAACAGTGAATGTACATGACTTTGTTACAACACTGCTTGTATATTAGTAAAAGACTGGAAATAATATGAATAATCTAGCAGGGAAATGGGTTAAATGAATTATGAATGGCCACAAAATGCATAGTAGTATGCCATTAAAAAAGGATGAAGAAACATGTTATATACTATTAAAAAGAGACATCAAGTAAGTACTGATTTTTTTTTTAAGCAAAGTATATGCTATTATTTGTGCAGATCTGTTAAAGGGTGAAAGGTATATTTGTATTTGTATGTGCATAAAATATCTTTCTGAAAAAATACCCCAGAAATTAAGAAGTCACTTAGGGAAGGTGAACTCAGCAGCTGAGCCCTAGAAATGGATGGGAGACTTTTAATTATACAATATTTAGTGTTTTTTTTTTTTTTTTTTACTTTGGAGACATGTGACTATATGAATATAAGTTAGTTAATAATAAAAACAGTTTTTATGGTTAAAAGAGGAGCGAAGAATGAGAATAAATGAGGTTGTCAGACATCCAAATACATCCTCCTAACAGTCTACATGTACAAAACTTCAAAACTAGAAAGTAATCACTGATGTTCTGAATGACAGTGTACACAGCCAAACACAGTGAATCTAATTTACATCTAAAATATTCTGCTTACTAAGACAAAACTTTGCGCCATTACATTACATAACTGTTTTCAAAAGCATGAACAAAAATAAACAAGATTTCTTGGCTAACCTTTAAACCAAATATTCAATAAAACCAAGCTCTCTTTTCTTTCATTCACTCACTGAATGATTCTACTGGTAAGGTTTTGTGGATACATGGATTAAAAAGCCTCTCAGTGTTTGATGCTAAAGAGTAATATACATGAAGGATTTATATTTAAATTTACATTTAAATGTTTCCTTGTGGAAGTACTATAACCGAGAAGAAAAGAAAATGCTGAGAAAATACAGAGAAGGTCAGAGGAGGCTCCATCATAGAACAGTATATGGTCCATTTCCCACCAGAATCTTCACATAACCCGTGACAATTAACTTCCAATTTCAGTTTTAGGATATTTTTGGGATCATGGCCCCAAACAAAAATGCACACAAATGTATTCATTCAAAAACAACAACAAAAAAGCTTCCTTCCTTAGAAACTAGCAGGGTGGCAGGGGAACCACCACTACAGAAGAAAGCCAAGTAATGAGGTTTTCTGTATTAAGATGTTGCTTGGATTTGTTCAACAAAGAAGTGAGACTACAGTTGCCAGTCACAGACTAGGTCAAAAGACAAACAGAAGGGGAGAGATGACTATTCCATGGTCTCATTGAGATTTTCTCCAAGGTCCTCAGCCCAAAACTGCAGGAGGGGAAAAAAAAAAAAAAAAAAAAAAAAAAAAAAAAAAAAAAAAACAGAAGAATTTTGTTCAGAATTCACCAATCCTGAGCAAAACTCAGAGGAAATGAGCAAAGCTGATGCTTGTCATCCCCTCATCATCCATCCTGGAGCCTTCCTCTCTTTTGAAGCCTCATGCCCAACCCTGTTCACTCTCACCACCCTGAAACTTTTCTGCATACAAGGAGTAGGAATGTGAAACTAATGTATTAATCGCTGAACTGCCAACTCCTATCTGGGAGAAAGTATGAAGAAAAAACTTGCTGGAATGCAGGAAGAAAAGTATGAAGAAAAAACTTGTTGGAATGCAGGAAACTAAGGCTTAGATGATGGATATGCTACTAACTTGTGATATGACCTTGGGAAGTCATTCACACTTTGTTGACCCTATTTCTGCCATCTGTGAAGATGGAAATGTTATTTGCTGTTTCAGAAAGTAGTTTTAATAATGAAATCAACACATGTCATATGTTGCAGGCAATGCTGAGAAGTGGCTAACCCAATAATATTCCCATCCTTCTCTCTTGCCTATCTCCACTACAGAAATATCCATTTCCCCAGACTCCTTTGCAGTTATGTGTAGCCATATGATGCAGTTCCAACCTGAAGTCATAAGCAAAAGGTTGCTCCAGACATAGTAGAATATCTTTGTGTTTCTGGATTAAAAAAAGACAGCTATGGCTGACATAGACCTCTTCCTTCCCTTCCTCCAGCCCTAAACAGAGGCGATACTTGGATCTGCAGCAGACACCCTGTGATGGTGAAAAAAAAAAGACCAAAAGAGTCACAGTAATTCCAGCCCTGATATCTTAAGCCACTGAACCAGCAGCCACCCACCCCATTTGTTAAAGTCACCATCAGGTGGATTTTCTGTTACTTGAGCAGTGGAATGTATACCTACATTTAATTTAATATTCATTAAAGTGTTGTGTAAATATTTACAAAAGAAAAATAATATTTTTAACTTAAACACTTTATGGAGAGAGCAGCCAACAATGCAGAAGAAATGCATCTCAAACATTGGAATTTAAAGTACAATAACTATTGAGCGGTAGAGTTATTTCTGGGGTGGGTGGCTTTTGTTCATGCCTTTTAAATATCAACCAACTGCTCTGAATATCTGGTAGTGTGACTCATAGGAAACACACACACACATTTGGAAGCCAGAGAAGCTTGGATTTCATTTCTGGCTTGACCACTTACTAGCTGAGTGGTTTGGGGCAATATATTTAATCTCTCTAAACTTCAACCGCTTCAGCTACAAAAGAAAATAAAAATAATATCAATCTTACACAATTAGTATGCATTAACACCCACCCTGCTGTCCCTAGTAAAAGTGACCAAATGAATAAATAATAGTATTCCATGGACCTTCAAAGAGGTACAAGTACATGAATTAAATAACAACTTGTGATATAAAGACAGAAAATTAGCCATGAAGAGGAGGAAGAAAAATGGGTAAGGAAAGACAGATAAGAGCAATGTCAGTATTGGGAAAAACTCTAGAAATTCCAGCTGTACCTATTTTTGAAAGAAGTATTCTTGTCATTTGCCAAAATAATGAGTTTCTGAAATTGTCTTCTCCTGACTTAGGCAAGAGCTTCACCTTCAGGTCAAAAATCCTAGAATTATCCACTAGGATGCAGTGACAGTTAAGGTTATGTATAATAAATCCACGTTCTGCTGCTCTTAAGACTTAATTAGAATCTTAACCTCCTTTCACATGGTTCTCACCACCAGAGCCCCACACCTTCTGTGGTCCCACAAAAGGCATTGCACACATGTTGACATATTGTCATGCAATTATATCTGCATTCACATTACTAGGGAATTTATGTAAATTTCCTCTAAAAATTACTTTTCAACTTCTCTGTTAAGATAAAATAATCATTTTCCCCTTTTTGGTTCTCTCAACAGAACTGATATCACAGAAAGCACTGTGGTATACGGATTATGTGTCTGTACTCTGGAACTGAGTCAAGCAGATCTAGAGTTGATTTTGACAAGCCACCATTGATGAGCTCTGTAACTTCAGAAAAGAGGCCTGGTCATAGGACTAAAAAGATAGTGCTCAATAAATGTTATTTTTTTTCATAACAGTTCACTTCAGTACTGTGTCAAAATCTGGTCTCCAATAAATGTAACCTTAACTAACTACAGATAGAATGAGGAGGGATTAATACAAAGACCAACATCACTGATTGTAGCTACTGGAAAGGATGAAAATCAAGGTTAGATGAATGTGAAATTCAAAATTTCTCCATGGTCAGATTTTTACTTATTTTAATAGTTTATAAATGTTGGTAAGTATCCTTAAATCATTTCTGCAAGTAGATGGGGGATCAATCATAAATAAAATAAGCCTGGTAAGGCCTCAAACCACAAAATAATTAAATATAAGCCAACGTGTTAGATTCTTAAAATTTAATCTGAAACGATAAAAACTCTACATTTTCATTCGAAGCATATTAATATTGCTACATTGCTAAAATGTATTAGCACCATCTTAGTTATTTTAAGCACTTAAAAAGCTGGTTAAAAGCTAGGTCACAATTATTATCTCATTTGCCCTTATAAGAGTTCAATTAAAGCACAGGCAATTGAAAGAATTTGGTCATGGTCACAGTGTGAGTTACTGAAAAACCTGAAGCTAAAGTTCAGGTCTTCAGCACTTATATGTTTTGATGGGGGCATCAGGCTGTACTGAAAAGTTGGAAGCAAATCAGTACTTATAAAGCAAAAAAATGGTTACCCACTAATTTACATTATGATTTCTCCAATGTGACATCTTTATCCCTGGTCTTAGATGACCTCCTGCTTTCCGGCAGAAGCAAATATTTAAATAAACTTGCACATTACATTCAATGCCCGTGATAACAGAAATAGACTACGTCCTAGTTTAGTCTTTTTCCCAGTTAGATATTTTTCATTCTAAAAACTTTTTTAACTTCAGTTGTATAGAACCTCATAGTCCACATGGTATTTGAGATGAAACTTGAAAGCTGTTTTAAAGTATGCTTAGCTCACCACGTTAACAGGACCAGATACTGTTCTAACCTGTTGTTGTTATTAATTCATATAAAACACAAAGCAATTCAAGAAGGTGTATGCTATAATTATCTCCATCTCAGAGAAGAGAAAACTGAAGCTCAGAGGTTACGGAATTTGCTAGTGTTACATGGTACAGGGTTAGCATACGAACACAAGCAATCTGGCTTCAGAGCCTGTGTCCATCATAAGCATACTGCAACTTGTCACATACTTAGCCAGTATAAAATGTTTTTACAAAGACCACAGAGACAACGCCAATGACAACATCAAATGAAGCCATATATTCTTGACCAGTCTGGTTATCTAGGGCCCTTGCTTTTGGCAAAGGAGAAACAAACATATATATTGGGGGAAAAAAAACAGCTGATTAAAAGAAAACAATTATTACATTTAGTAAATCAGGCATAGCAGCAAGTATTGACAGAGAGGAAAGACACACATACACTCACACATGCGCACACACACACACACACACACACACACACCACTAAAAAGCAGATACAAGGCCGTAAAAAATCCAAGTCTTAACTCATCTAATGAAAGATAAAACATTCTTACATACATCAACTACCAGAGAACATCACTGTATCACAACACAATGAAAAGTCTCATGTTCCAAATAAGTGTTGACCTCAACAAAGACTCTATGGGACTTAACTGATCCTCTTTTTGAATGCAGGGATATGTAAAATCATTATTTAAATTATGTCTAAATTTTAGAAATATTCCTATCCAGACTGTTAAAATAAAAACTTTGATATAGAATAAGTCACTGTAAACTTCAAAGTGCTGAAACAAAATGATGGTCAGCTTTGAAGTCTATACAGAATTAACTACCTCTCAGGGGGAAAAGGTGAAAGACATTTTGAGACACAAAAGATTGAGAACAGAAGTGACTGTTAAGGAGTACTCTGCATGCAGCAAGAAGTAAACAGAAACCAGAAAAAAGGAGCTAACGACACAAGTAACCATGCTAGTAAATACAGCATGTATAAATACAGACTGTATAAAATTATAATTATCAACATAACCACAATAATTAATTTGGAGGAAGTCAAAAATCAAGGTGTGAATAAAATGCTGGACATCAATAGTATGATGGAAGGACGAAAGGAGATCAGAATGAAGCCCTCCAAGGGTTGTTACATTGTACAGAAGAAGAACAGAAATTCTGATGATCCTTAAACATTGTTAAATATACATATTTGCTAAAAATTTAAGAGTAACCACTAAAAGAGGGAATATAAATTGCATAACATCTAAACTGCCAGAGAAAGAAATGAATGTTTAAATATTTCACATCACCCAAAATAAGGAAAGAAAGGAGAAAGATAGAAGCAGTGAAAACATTACGAACTCAAAATAATGTCAGAAATAGGTACAAAAATAACAGTTGCCATAAAAATGTAAATGAGCTAAACTATACATCCAAAATATAATGTTGAGTGGAAAAAAGCAAGTTGTAAAATAATAGGTACAGCATAGCATCTATGAAATTGAAAGAATGTAAAAACTATATTGTTTATAAATACTATTCTATTTAGTGAACACATAAAAGCATGGACTGGAAGGATACACATGAGTTTCTGAATGGCAGTTGTCTCTACAGACAGAAAACAGGTAAAGAGGCTAGGAAGAAAATGAAGCCTTTTTCAACTGTAATATTCCTTTTCTCCTATGATAAATAATATCTGGGTGGGAGCAGAGGAGGAGAGCAAAGCCCTCTACTGCCAACTGGCAAAAAGCTAGAGAGACTCTGAGAATGAACATCTCTAATGTCAGGGAGTCTAGTCTCTGAGTCTCGCTAAGAGCTGCAGGCTGTGGGGCCTTTCTTCTGTTTTTTCTAATGTACAACGAAGAGGCTCTGTTGGAGCTGAAACCAGTGAAGGAGCTATGAAAGAAGAAAGTCACCAGAATGATTCTTCGGGCTCCACTGCTCAGAGCCTTAGCAACTGGGAACACATGCCAGAAGCATGTGACACATGAGCCCAAAGTCTAAGAACAAAAACCACAGGGAATTTTTTTTTAGCTGCTTTTAATTTTTTTCTAAGTGAAGCTCTCAAAGTTAGTTATAATAGAGCATTATGAAACACATTAAAACCAGTTTGTTAACAGTCAAGGTTAAGCAAAAATGCACTAAGTGGTAGCTTAGTGTTTAATTCCAAAAACTTTCTTTTTAAAACATTCTACTTTACTATGTAATGGCTGCCATATGTTGTTACATTAATAGTTACTTCCCTGGTTCTAAAATAACATGACAAAATAGACATTAAGTGGCAAGTCTGTCACAAGCAGCCACACCAATGATTAAGCACAAATCATGGGATTAGCTCTGAATACCTGCATGGTAAGACCTGTCGGTCAGGGCTGGGTTTGATGATTTTTAATAAAGATTATCCAGGTGTATTACTGGGATTCATATTCAGACAAATACTCTTTCTCAGTGTTGTACCTTAGTTAAAGAAGAAATAATCAAGTGTCCACAATGAAGTTAGGTTTTCTCTGGAACACAAGTTACAGAAGCATGTCAAAAAAAATAAGTCTAGAGAAGTATGTCAAAGGAAATGTTGTCAGACTTGAATTAGGAGGTTAAGATGGGAATTCGAAACAAGTTATGGCACAGACTCATCTTTTTCTACCTTAATTGCTATGGGGAATAACATATATCCAGAAAGTATTTCAAGATTGCTAACTGGCCTAAGGTAAAAGTATGGCATCCTAAAGATAGGATGAAGAAAGTAAGAACAGTAGGGAGCAGAAATCTACATACTTCTTAAGGAGGGTTCTCCGTCAAAAAGAAGAGTCACCAACCTTGTTGATAAACGGTGGGTAGTAAGTAGAGACTGAAATCTCTCAGAATTCTAAGAGGCAGACAGACTATAGTATTTGCTGACATGTTAGACAACTACTCCCTTAACTTACAGCACCCCTTCCCCCTCTCTATATTCCTCCATAGGTGCTTATATTACAAACACATAGAGTAAGAATGAGAGAAACAGATTGTGGCTCAACCTTTCAGATAGTGGGAATTTTTCAATTTATATTTTTTATCACATTAAATTCAAAACTAAGGATACTGCTAAAAAGGTGGGATTCAAAGCTGCATGATTTTTAAATTGGCAAATAAGATTAAAAATCTGAAGTAAATTTTTATAAAGAAAGCCATTTTACTACATATTTCTACATACCAAACTTAGGAGAAGTGATAGGCTGGTTATATCCACTATAAGTAAGAATTCAATCAAATTTAATTGAACAATTGTTTTTTTCCACCTGTATCATATGCCAGCCCCTGGTAGAGACCCAGTAATCAATGAAATGGTCTGTGATGTCTAAGAAATCAAAATACAAGACAAGAAAACTCTGTGTAAACACATAATCACTATTCTATTTGCGAAGATTCCACCACTCTCAAGCAGCTTGATTTTGAGCAAGTCATTTTTAACTACTCTATACTTCACTTTTTTCAATTAGATAATAATATCTATTTTATGAAATTGTAGTAGAATTACAAGATAATCCAGGTATGGCTCTTAGCAAAAAAAGGCTGAACAATTAACCCATGTACATCATTATTACTATTTATCATGCATTACATTAGTATTACTATTATTATGGGATACTAATACAGAAGAAGGACAACTAATTCAACCTTTGGGTTCATGAAAAGCTTGCCAGAAGAGGGAGACCTGAGCTGAGCCCAAAAGCACCTGGGTAAAAGTAGTATATTCTAGGTAAAAGGCACAGAAAGCAGAAAGAATGGCACAGTTTGGGCTGTGACTCTCCAAACAAGTCAAGATGATTCCAATAATGTATGTGTGTGTTTGTGTGTGTTTGCATGCACACATGTGTGTGCATATTGTCAATAAAAATGAGGTTGAAGGAATGGAAGAAGATCACAAAGAACACTATGTACCACAAGAAAAAAAGTGGCCTTTATTTCACAGTATTCAATTCTATAGGCATTGAAGATGATGCCTATAGTTGATGTCAGTTATATAAACCAAGTATTTGTCAATTTCAAACATGCAACAGTATAACCAAAAAAAAAAATTTACAGTTTGGTGGCTGGGGACTAACTTCTGTGATGTTACGAAGGAAGGGGGAAAGGGAACAAAAGGGAAGGAAGTAAGGAAGCAAGAGAAAAAAAAGGAAGATGGAAGGAAATGAAGGAAGCAAGTAAATACAGGTAGGAAAGAGAGAATATTGGTGGCCTGACAGTTTATTAAAGCTTCAGACTCTTTAATCTCAACAGAAACAAATTAGGGCAACACATCTGCATAACTTTAATGTTATAAGAGAACATCTCAACTCACCACATTCATCCCACATTTATTAAAATAAACTTTCTTAGGGACAGATCTGCACATGTAGAAAAAACATAATTAAGACCGGTTCCTGAAAGATTATTTTTGAAACTGAATAACCATTTTACATAAGGATTCATAATTTATTTGCATAGAGAAGTTGATAGAAAGTGATGGCAAATGTGTATCACGGAGGCTCCCACTTTCCCTCTCCTCCAGTCTTGGCAGACATGATCAATCAATCCGGTCCT